CAGTAGCCATATTTTATAGGTTAAACGTTTTCATAAGAGGTTCAGATGAGGCTAAACTGCATCCAGATGTTTTAGTCTATCTAATAGTGTTCCTGAAGCACAGCACATATTAAGTTATTTGTCTCCCTACAAAGAGGTATATATGTTTTGTGAAAACATTCAATGAGTTGGCAAAATTCAATAGCTTAAGCATAACTTGAATGTATATATGAATTATGTAGATAAGTAAAATTTGCATACAAATTCTCTTTGAAGTCAGCGGTTGCTGCTTATACATGCAAGATAGAAATACTAAATTTTACAGTGTCTTTATAGTGAAAATGCTGCTACAGTTTGTACAAGGAATTGGAGCCTACTTGGTAAATTAAATTCTTAGATTTTGTGGGATTTATATATTTTTTTCTCATGGCAAAATTATATTTTGCAGATATGTGTTAATGTTGTTAAAATAAATAAAAAAGAAAATTAGTTACTCTGGAACTCCTGTAAAAATAGAGAACTTGAAGAACAACCTGATTTCTTTTTTATAATATTGCTGTTGGGAATACTGATGGGTCTTCACACAATACTATCCAGTGTTACCTCAAATCTCTTCTGAGATGACAGGGAATATACAGCACTGGGCTCACAAATTAAATAAATATTCTTAGACCCCGCACCTTATTAAGGATGCACCACAACTCTGTGCTGTTGTCAAGCTCTGTTATATGATTTTCACCACTTAGTTTTAGAAAACCTCATATTCCACAGCTACAAAACTGTGAAGTCCTTCTGCCCCCAGAGGCAGTGAGTGAGAAGAGCTCAACAGGAAGAATGGAGCTTTGACTGTGCTTTACCACTGTTGTGATTCAATTGTTTATGTCCCTTCAAAATTCATGGTTTGAAATCCTGCACCCCAGAGTGACAGTATTAGGAGGTGTGGAGTGTGGGGCTGATTAGGTCATGAGGGTGGAATCCCCATAATTGACTCTCTTATGAAAAACTACCCCAGAGACTTAGCTTGTCTCTTCTGTCACCACGGAGGTTGCTGGGATCCGAACCCACTGGATTTGGTTGCTTCATCAATAAGAGAAAATGATACCAAATAAAAATGAATTTAATCATAGCCTGGTCCAAACTGGGAAGACAGCTCTCTGTTTGTGCTGTCCTACAGAAATATTAGATTCATAGTGGGAAAAAGCCAGAAAATATACATATGTAGACTTTTCCAATCTGTGCTAGCCAAGATATTGTGTTAGTCAGCTTTTTGTTGCTGTGACAAAATACCTGAGAAAATCAACTTAGAAAAGGGAAGATTTATTTTGGCCCACAGTTTCAGAGGTTTTAGTCCATGGTCACCTGGTCCATTGTTTCTGGGCCAGTGGTGATGCAGAACTTCATGTTGAAAGGGCTTGGTGAAGCCCTTCTCATAACATCTGAGCAGAGAAAAAGAAAGACTGGGGACAAGATACAGTCTCCAAGGGCATGCCCCCCAAGAGCCACTCTCTTTAACTAGATCCCACCTCTTACAGTTTCCATCAACTCCCAATACTTCCTTCAGCTATGAATCCATCAGCGGATTAATCCACTCATGAGGTCATGAAGTCTGAGCCCTCATGATGCATTACTTCCCCAAAGTTCATTTCTTCTCTCTCTCTCTCTCTCTCTCATGGGGGATGGGTACTAGGGATTGAACTAAGGGGCACTTGACCACCAAGTCAAATCTCCAGTCCTAATTTGTATTTTATTTAGAGACAGGGTCTCACTGAGTTGCTTAGTGCCTCATTTTTGCTGAGACTGGCTTTGTACTAGTGATTCTCCTGCCTCAGCCTCCTGAGCTGCTGAGATTATAGGCATGCACCACCACACCCAGTCCAAAAGCTCATTTCTGAACAAGCCTTCAGACATGAACCTTTGGGGGACACTTCAGACCCAATCTACAATAGATCCATCACAGTTCAAGTTCTCTGAGCATGTTGGTGCCAGGGGTTTTGGAGAGGGCAGTTTTAGCTCCCATTCTCAGCACAAGATGATGGTTTATAGGAAGCTGGGATGGATGAAACAGCTTTATCAGGAAATGAAGAATAATAAACAATTTGGAATTTCTAATTTTAAATGGACGTCATTGTACTTCTACCACATGAGAAGGCATAAGCAGATGATCTTTTATGAATCAGAACCAAGTCTTCACCAGACACCAAATCTTCCGGAGCTTCAATTTTGGACTTTTGAGGCACCCAAACTGTGAGAAATAAATCCCTGTGATTATAAGTCACTTAGTTTAGAGTATATTTTTATAGAGGTCTAAAAAGACTAAGAGAAAATTGGTACTGATAGCAGGATGCTGCTGTAACAAACATCTAAATGTGGAAGTGGTTTTGGTACTGGGTAATGTGTGGGGACTGTAAGAGTTTTGATGTGTATGTTACAAAATCCTGTGTGGCCATGAAGGGATTAAGGGCAATTCTGGTGAGAGCTCAAGAAGAAAAGAGAAGAGCCGAAGATAGAGCTCAATCTTAGAGACTGTGAACTGTAAAGGCCAATCTGATGAGATGGCAGGCAAAGGAGGAAAGGCCATCCTTGATACACAGTTACAAAGAATCTGGCTACTTTGTGTTCACATTTCAGGGAATTGTGTTAGGGTTTCTGTGTTTTGTGGAAAGTAGAACTGGTAGGTAATTAAACTGGATATCAAAGAAGTTACTAAGCACAGCTTTGAAGTTGCAACTTGATTTCTCCTGACTGTTTATTGTAAAATGCCACCACAGAGAAGTGACTTAAAATAGAAATGTAGGGACTGGGGTTGTGGCTCAGTAGTGGAGCGCTTGCCTCCCATGTTTGAGGCACTGGGTTTGATTCTTAGCAGCACGTGAAAAATAAACAAATAAAATAAAGGTTTTGTGTCCATCTATAAATAAAAAGATTTTTTTAAAAAAAATGGAATATAAATCAAAGGGTAAGAGAACTTAAAATATTCTCAGTGTATCCTATTTGTCAAAATGAGGAAGATTATTCAATATAGAACGTGAAGGCTGTGGCCAAATTTAATAATCAGATTAGAAAATTATCTAATGATAATTAGATTAATTGGGATGGCCATTTCAATCATCGCTGTGAGTTATTTATCAAGACAATGTGGATATCACGCAGCCATCTAAATAGAAGCCATGGCCTATTGTCCAAGACAATGGAAGAATGACCTGCAAAGGCATTTCAGAGATTATCAAGGATTACCCCTGCCCTCATAGGCCCCAGTGCCAGAGCTGAGGGGGAGGATAGGGTGACAGCTACCTGGTGCCAACTCACACCATGAGCTCTAGTCCCTACATTCTGGTGAAAAGCACTCCTCTGCTGTCTCAGGTATGGCTTCAGTGGGCCCAACGCAGTGGACACGGAAGTGGCTGCCCCACCAGGGTGCATAGGTGATTAGCTTTGGCTACATATGTCAACGTGGTGCATCTCCCAGGCATGCACAGTACATAACCACGTTATTATGATAATGTGGCCACTTCACATAGATTTCAAAATATAGAGGTGCCTGGAGTGTGAAGGCAAGGCATTGGCCCAAACTCTCCCCCAGTATGTTCAGAAATCAGGACATTGAGCCTAGAATTATTCTGGAAACTTCAGATTTAATGTCATTTGTCCCATTGGGTTTTGGAATTGCTCAGGACCTATTACCCACCCCATTGTTTTTTTTCTCCCTTTTGGAATGGGGATGTCTATCCTATGCCTTTCCCATCACATGACTTGTTTGATTTCACAGGTTCATTTGCCTCAAGATGAATCATACCTTGAATCTCACTCATGTCTGACTTAGATATTGATACTCTGGATTTAGATTTTGGAGTTGATGCTGTAATGAGTTAAGACTTTGGGGGCCACGGCGATGAAATGACTGCCTATATTTTGCATGTGAGAAGAACATGAATTTGGCAGGGTGAGGGACAGAATGCTATGGTCTGAATATTCATGTTCTCCTAAAATTCATGTTGGAACCCTACTCCCAAGGTGATGAGACAAAAAGGGGACTGGAAATTAATTAGATCATGAAGGCATTGCTCTCATGATTCTGAGATGTCATGTCCAATCAGAATACAGTGAGAGTGTCCTCTATGACCCAGACAGGAGGCCCTCCCCATGCACTGAATCTCTTGGCACCTTGATCTTGGAATTTCTGGCTCTATAATTGTGAGAAATAAATTTTTATCATTAATAAGTCACCTAGTTTATCTTATTTTGCTAATTAACATTCTGGATGGACTAAGAAACCTCCTCACATAGGTAGCACCTTACCTTACCGAGGCCAGCAAGTGACTGAAACTCTCTGAGTCTTGGTGTCTTCAGCATGGTACCTCCTTTAGAAAACTCTTGTCAAGAAAAATATATAAGTGTTTTGTAAAATTATATAAATAACACAAAATTTTCATTATACAAATAAGAAAAATGAGGCCTGGAGAGGCTAAATTTATAAGTTATACAGTAGCTTCCCAAACTCTTATCCACTGAAATATAATTGGGAGTCAACAAATAGCAAATGTATGGATCCCTTAATAGGCAAAAACTGAAATATTATAAGTAAAAAGGTGAACCTAACACTCTTGGAAGCATTATTCACTGAGATATAATGTGTATAGTGTAAGAATTTAAGTGTAACATAAAAGCAATGTAGTAGAATAGTTTATGACTTCATGGTCATTTTTATAGACATCAAGTGCATTTAAGTCAAAAGAGAGGGTTATCAATTGGGAATTTGGATGTGGTCTAGCATAACATAATTCACTTGTCAAAGTTTCTGGAAGGCTTCAGGCAATTTATTGAAAAAGAGGACACACACACACACACACACACACACACTCCACACACACACGCTACAACACATGTAATTTCTGCCTAATGCATAATATAATATTAAATGATGTTTAAAGGAAATAAAAATGTGAAATAGCTCAATTTTGCTATTTTTATATAATTTGATATTTGTTAGTTATATAGTTCAATGCATCTGGGCTTCTTTGCAGTGCTCTGTGACCTGTGGCTCTGGAGTTCAGCAAAGAGATGTCTACTGCAGACTGAGAGGCGTAGGTCGGGTGGCTGAAGAAAGGTGTGATCGGTCCACCCGGCCTTATTTTCAGAGGCAATGCTGGCGCCAGGACTGTGTGCAGTACCAGTGGATAGCAGGACAGTGGCTGGATGTGAGTATTGATGAGTGAGCTTTCAAAGACAATGTCTATAAGAGTGTGCTGTTCATTTTGTTATTGCATTTCTAGTGTTCAACATCATGTAAGACAAAAGAGACACATTGGCTTGTGAAGTGTGTTGATGCCCAGAACATGCAAGTAAATGAAAGTTTCTGTGACCCTTCAACCAGGCCTCTGTCAATCAAAAAGTGCAGAAACCCTCCCTGCAAATATGTGGTAGTAACAGGAGACCCATCCCAGGTAAGGCAAAAAAAAAAAGGAATTGAGAAATTTTGTTCCTGTACACAACAGCTGGGTCTCAAATTTGAAAGTGGGGACAGATAATGGGTATGCATATTGATCTAATGAGTGATACCATTGGATTGTGTAGAGTACTAACAGCAAAATGTTAGTCTGAAGTGTCCATTGGTACCATCCATGAAACCAACTACTAGGAATAGTTTAGCAAATGGGTCTTGCATGGTTCTCACTTTTTAAAAACAGTACTATTGAGGTATAATTGACAATCAACTGTACATATTTAAAGTGTACAGCTTAAGTTTAGACATATGTATGTATCCATAAGCTCAGTATAATATACAAAATAAATAGCATATTATACTTCCATCAGCCCCAAAATTTCCTTGTACTATTTTGTAATCCTCCCTATACTCCCTTCACCCCACAATTAACCCCCACTATTTTCTATATTAGTTATGTGTCACTGTATTAGTTTGAACTTCCAGGATTTTATATAAATAGAATTATTTTTTTGTCTGATGTAATACAAGTTTTGGAGATTATTGAGGTCACAATATGTATCAGTAGTTTATTCTTTTTTTATTATTGAGTAATATTTCATATAAATTGTATAGATGTTTTCAAGATTTCTTATCTTTTCTTCTCTGATGTCTGATATGCCTTTAATTCTGATCCAGTTTACTTTTCATTCCATACATCACCATCTTCATCTAAAGCTCAATTTTATCTTTTAAGAAGTCCTTCATGTCTATACTTAATATTTTAAGCATATAACAGTCATTACTGACTTTTTAATGTCCTTCTGTGCTAATTGTAAAGTCTGTGTGTTTGCAATTTAGAGAAACTCAGTGTAAGTTTTTGCAAGCATCACCATGAATATTGTGTCACACCTAAAAGGCTTTCTACCTATTAATAGTCACTTCTCATTCTCCCACTTTCCTCCTAGTCACTGACAACCACTAACTCCTTTCTGTCTCTATTGATTGCCTGGTTCTGGACATTTTGTATAAATGGAATCATAAAGCATGTGGTCTTTTGTGTCTAGCTTCTTTTATTTGTTATTTTTTTATATCTTCTTTTTAGAAATAGCTATTCAAATCCTCTGCCCATTTGTATTTTTATTGTTAAGTTAGGAACTTTTTTTCAGGTACCAACTTTTGTCAATTATATGATATTTAAATATTTTTTTTCTCAGTCTGTGGGTTGTCATTTCACTTTCTTCATAGTGTACTTTGGTGCACAAATGTGTTTAGTTTTGAGGAAGCCAAATTTGACAAACTTTTAAAATTATTGTTGTCTTTGTGCTTTAAGTATTACACCTGAGAAATTATTGCCTATTCCATGGTCACAAAAACGAATATTGATGTTTTCTTCTAAGACATGTATAATTTTTGTTTATGCTTTTAGGTTTTTCATGTACTTTGAATTGATTTTGTGTATAATGACTTTAGTTCTTTAGGGTAAACACCAAAGAGTATACAGTGGGTCATATGGTGATTCCATGCCTAGTCTTTGGAGGAACTTTCATACTGAATTCCATTGTAGTTGTATGTACTAATTTACAGTTCCTTTCCCCCAACATTCTCACCAGCATTTATTATTTGTTTTATTGATGAATGCTATTTTAACTAGAGTGAAATTAAATCTCAGTGTAGTTGGTTTGCATTACCCTGACTGATAAAAATGTTAAACAGATTTTCCAATTTTTTTTGGCCTTTTCATTTTTTTTTTTTAAGAAATGTCAGTCTAGTTCACTTGCTATTTATTAATTGGGTTATTTATTTTTTGACATTAGTTTTTTGAGTTCTTTACATATGTGGGATTTTATCTTGCCTTATTCTTATTCTCTTCCTTTTGACCCTGTGGTAACCTTGAAAAATCTTTGTTACTCTTTGACACCCAGAATATGTAAAAAACTCAAAAAACTTGATGTTGAAAAATAAATAGAAAATTTACAAAATACAAAGCCTAGCCAGAATCTGGGTTCTTTCTATTTATTGGTACAACTCTGGAAAAGTTGAGCAAATGGCTTGGAAACTTTGTTTACCCATCTGTAAATGAGGCTGATCAACTAAGATTGTTGTGGAGATAATGCAGCTATTATAGATAATTATTATTATGAATAATAATTAAACAACTGTTTAATTTTAGTTGTTAAGTTTCAAAACATCTTCTTATCATCTTGCAATCATGTATTTTTAAGTGTGCAGGTAACTGTGGATTTAGTTATCAACAAAGGATTACATATTGCATTGGGATCCGGTCTATTAAGAAACACAAGCTCCATCAGCTTTGGCCTGTATCCTATCGAGAATGCCCTGTGCCACCTTCCTCTCAGGTTTACAAATGCAATATGAGAGGCTGTTCGCATGTGGCCACTTGGAAAGTTGGAAAATGGAGCAAGGTCAGTGTGAAATAATGAATTAAAAACTTTTTGAATTCGGTTTTCCAGGGGGTAGAATGCCTGGTAATCTGCATGTCTAGCTATATTCTTGGAGTTGTCTCATCTCCTTTTGTCTGAAAACTAATGTATCAGTTATTTGTACATATAATCTTATCTCTCCTCTATGCTTTCTGGAACTTTTTTTAATAATAGATGCCATATCAATACTTATTTCTGTTCCTCAGAAAACCCTGTAAGGAGATTACACTTTGAGGAAGTATTTAAAACATATTTATTGATAAGTGAAGAAATAAAAAAATCTAATATATGAGTAATAAATATTATTTTCACTATATCATATTCTCAATTTAATTGATGGAAAGCAGATAAATACTACTTTGCAAATAGCATCTTAACTCAGTGAGAAAAAAACTCTTAGGAGTCTTAATATCCTTGTTAATTAATATTTATTAAGTATTTACAATGTACTATAGATATAAGTATACAAAATAAATGAAAAGAAGCCAGTAACTGAGAAATAATAGACTTAAGTCCAGGACTGAGAACTTTTTCCATCTGTAACTGTGCAGTCTTCAGTGTATTTCTTTATCTTCAGTAGTTCTAACCCTTATTGACCCTCCATTTATTTCAAAAGGACTTACTCTGAGCAGGCATGGACTTACTGGACTTCTTTAGTATTTGTTATATGTTTTTCTGTAAATTATACTCTGTTCACAGTGCTCAGTGACTTGTGGAAGTGGGATAATGGTGAGAAGAGTAGAATGCATAGCTGAAAATGGTGGGTCCAGTGACCTGTGTCTGAAGCATTTAAAACCAGATGCTCAAAGGAAATGTTATGCCAATGACTGTAAGTTAATAAATTTCAAAAATGAGCCTAGTATGTAAGTTTTTCTAAGAAGTTTTAGTAAAGTGTAAAAATAAATGGACATGATAGTCACATACTCTACAACCTGAAGGGTTCAGGTCTTCAATGTGTGGCACTAACTATATGATTAAGCTCATGCTGTGTTTGTAATTTGTTCAGTGTTGATAAGATGTGTTAACTTGTCTTTGAAGGTAAATCATTTACCACCTGCAAGGAAATCCAAGTTAAAAGCAACATTACCAAGGATGGTGACTATTACCTTAACATTAAGGGAAGAATAATAAAGGTATTACAGAAAGAGTTCCTAGTTGACTTTACCACTGTTCATTGTCTATTGATAAAGTTTTATAGGTGTTTGCATTTTTCTTTTAGGTCCACTGTGCAGACATGCACTTGGAGAACCCCAAGGAATATTTATCACTGGTAAAAGGTGAAGAAGACAACTTTTCTGAAGTGTATGGCTTTAGGTATGTGCTGTGTTGTGTTCTATCTGTATATTTTTTATGACTTTTAGAAGTTCTAACCTTTGTACGACACTTGAATAGATCACATATGGGGCAAGTAATTTAAGAGCAGATGGACATATGAGGACCTAAGCCATCTGTTTCCATGCATATTTAATAAGAAAGACATGAGTGTTAAGCTCTACTCACAGAGAGATTGACTTAAACGTGGGTGAATGGTGGGACAATAGAGAAGGGACTAGCTAAATATCTGTGTGTATTTTCATAAAAATCAAATTAATTCCAGTGACAAACATTAGGAATTATTTTTCTGCAAACTATCCTTAAATTGCCCATCGAGAATATTGTATATTAATCTTATATTAGTTTTGTATATTGAATTATTTTTATTTCTTTCACATTTAACTTGCTGGAATTAGGATATTGAAGAACAGGAGTATTTTTTTATTTTCCCACTTTCAAAGCTTACCATTCATCATACTGGGGTCTAATAACTATCTGAGATTAAAAATATTCCAATGTTGTTACAGACTACAAAATCCATATGAATGCCCTTTTAATGGAAGTAGGAGGCAAGACTGTGCATGTAAAAATGACTACCTAGCTGCTGGATATACTGTTTTCAGCAAAATAAGAATTGATCTTACTTCTTTGCAAATTAAAAGTAAGTGCTGACTCTATTTTTAAAACAAAATCCTCCATTTCCTAATGAAAGTCTAGCAATATGCTGATATATATGATAATCAGGGTTTAGAGAAGGACCTGGCACTGCAAAACAATTACTTAATTTAAAAAGTATTATTAGCTATCTGCTTTCTCTGCAATGACATATCAGGGGTACCCTTAATCAAAATGTAATGGTTGTGGCAGTGATAAGATACTGCCCTTTCAAATCAAAACCCTCTACCTTAAAAAAACCAACTATAAAAGGGCAAGAAAATTAACTTCTTTGACATATACGTGTAAGTATTTTTTTCAGGGTTTAAATTAATAATGAACATTAATTATAAATTATAATTGATCAATCATTTTCCCATACAGTATTCATTTAATATGTCAGCAATCCTGTATTAGGGCAATTATTATATCACACTGTAAGCAGTGATGAGAAATTTATATATATATGGAAGTTCAGTGACTTGTCCGTTTCCTAGTTAGTAATTGTTGGGGGGATTATAAAGTCCTAGTTACGGACCTCAAGTAATGAATCATACTGCCTTAATTTATAATACTGCCTAGAAATTAATTTACGATACAATCAAGTCAAAACATATTTATGGAATCTAAATACACCGAGCATGATGCAGCCTGCTGTCTTGAAAGTGACATGCCTGCATAAAGAGGCAAAGAGTTTATTTCAAAAGCTGAGACAGATCTCAGTCCTCATTGGATCAACTGTGTATAGCCCAGTGCATAAACTAGAGAAAGAAATGAAAAGAGAATATTTATTGAAGCAGTATTTGCATTAATATGTAGTATCTAAATTATAGTTAATATGATGATGAACTTGATGACTACCATTTACCAAACCTTCAACATTTACTACAGTGGATGTTTAGTTCATTTTTCACTAATGTAACAAAATTCTTTCCTGTATTATAAAGGAGAGAGGTTTATTTTGGATCATAGTTTTATAGGCTGAAAATTCAAATGGCATAACACAGGCTCTGGCAAAGTCCTCATCCTTGGCTGCCTCACATCATGGTGGCCATGTGTGGGTATCTCTGTGTCTGTGAGATCTCTCTCCATCTCCTTATGCAGCACCACAGTTCAATCATAGGGGCTCCACCCCACTGACCTAATATAATCTCATCATTTCCTAAAAAACTCACAACAAAACACCATAACAGAATTAAGTTTCCATTCCCTTGATATAATTAACAAAAAAATTTGGGGATTGAATTTCTGCATGAGTTAGTAAGAACAGATCCTATTCAAATTATAGTAGTGATTTCAGTGAAACTCTGGAGTCATATTGTTTGGGTGGAAATTCTTTGTTTCAATTTATTAATTGTATGACCTTGAACATACCTTTTAAAGTCTAAATTCCCTCAACTGTGAAATAAGAAATTGCCCCCCAATTTTTCCTCTCCTTTTTTCCTGCTTTTTTGTCTTTCTTTTTCTTTCTTTCTTTCTTTCTTTCTTTCTTTCTTTCTTTCTTTCTTTCTTTCTTTCTTTCTTTCTCTTATCTTTCTTTCTTACTTTTGGTGAAGATTAAGAGATGATATACATAGTCAATGTCTTGCATGTAATAAATGCACTAAAAATATTGGTTATTATTTTATTATGTATCAGGTAATTAGTACTGCTAAGTATATATTTATATATTTAGCTGTTTTTCATAAATTTATCAAACAAAGTTGCCATATTTTCAGTCATTGGGCTGGGTCCTGAGTGTACAAGATCAATTACATACATTTTTAGCTCTTCTTTTTTCCTTCCTCAATGAATGTGGCAAAATTCAAGTATTGATTAAATGAAACCTTTCACCAATTTTGTACCTATGCCATGGAACAGAATTTGTCAGATACTATATTATCCCCATCAATACAATACATCATCAGTTCTTCCTCTCTGCTTTAATTTGCATGTTACACAGAGAAAATGCTCTTGTTTCTTCCATTAAAATTAAGAACAAATCCTTGTTACTCTCTTCTTCTCTAGCCACTGTCCAATTTCTGTGTGTTTCCTTACAGTAAATTCCTTAAAAGTGTCATTCCTCTCTCTTCCATTTTTCTTCCTCCATACCCTCCTGAACTCATTCAGATCAGTTTTTTATTCATACCACTTTTAGGAAATAGCTCAATTAAGATTATCAATGGCCTCCATTCCTCTAAATTCAATGGTAGATTCTTGGTTTTCATCTTCCATGATTTTTAACTGCTGCACCTGCCTTCCAGGACACCACACTATAATGACTTTGTGCCTTTCTTGGTCACTTTTTGTCTTGTCTTTCTCACTGTGTCTTAACTTGGACAATTACTTTTAATCTTCCATAACATTTAATGTTGGAACATTTAAGACTCATTCATTGCCTCGGAGATCCCACTCCCTCTATAGATTTCAAGTACCATCTATTAAATGATAGTCCCAAGTGTATATTTCCAACTTGGACTGTTACCCTGAACATCCACCTGTGTGCTCAGTATATCCATGTGAATGTGTCATAGGTATGTCAAACATAACTGAGCTTCTACTACTTCCTGCTAAACCTCTACCTTCAATTCAATTTTAACCATTGCCCAAAGTGGCAACTATAAACTTCTCCTTCTGCTGTAGCTAAAAACTAGCAATATCTTTAATGTTTCTCTTTCTTCTACAACCATATGAAATCCATCATCAAATTATATCAGGTGAACCTTTTACATGCATACCACAATGGACTGAATTGCACATTCCCAAAATTAAAAAGTTGAAACCCTAACCCTCAATGCAATGATATTTAGAGATGGAACTATTCCACAAAATTGGGTTTAAATGAAAACATGAAGAAGGGTCCCTCATAATAGGAGGAGCACACTTTAAGTAAAGGAGGAGCCATCAGAGCTTTCTATCATGGAAAAATACAGCAATAGGGTCTTCATTTGCAAGTCAAAAAACAGAAAACAAAAACACCTTCACAAGATCTCAATCATGCTGGGACCCTGATCTTGGATTCTTGGATTTCCAGCCCTCAGAAGTGTGAAAAGTAAGTTTCTGTTAGTTGTGTTATCCAGTCTATGGAATTTTGTTATGGCAGCCTGAACTGTCTAAGAGGTGCCAAATCTCCTTTCTTACTAACTCATTTGCTACCATATTGGTCCAAGTCCATATCACTTCTGATATTGATTTTCTTCTCAACAGATAAGCCAGAACAATCCTATAAAACTTCAGTTGTGTTATGACTTGTGCTTCTCTCATTTGATTTCTTAACAAACATAAACTCTGCTTGAAACTATCCAGACATTTCTCACCTAACTTAGGGTGAATAGAGAATTCTTTCACTGATCAACAAAACTCAACATGATCTCCCCACCTCCATTACCACTCTGCTTCTCACCCTTCCCCACCTCCTTGTGTACTGGACTCCAGACACAGTGGCTCTTTGCTTGAACACTAGGCAGGCCCTTGTGTTAAGGCCTTTTCACTTACTGTTCAATTTGCCTGGAAGATTCATCCCACAGTTATGTATAACTGCTGAAATTCACCTTCTCAATAAGGCCATGAAGGATCACTAGGGCACTATTAATCTTCCTCTCTCCCCAGTGCTCTTCCATGCTGTATATGTATATTTTTAATCATAGCAATTATCACTCCTAACATAATATAGAAATTTACTCTATTACTAGTCTCTCTTTGGTAGGACTCTGCTTCCATCAGCTTCTGCTTCATCCACTATTATGTTCACAGTATTTGTAACAGTGCCCAATATAAAATAAGTTACAAATAAATATTTGTTTCACCAAGAAGCTTCTAAGGACAGCTATCTTGAACCATAAATTGAGTGGAGGTTGAGGGATGATAGCATATTAGGAAGTCTCCATGGAACAGACCATGAAGAACAGTGTGTACTAAATGACAGTGACCTCCCATTATCTGTGGTTTCAGTTACCTGTGGTCAACCACGTTCAGAAATTATTAAATGGGAACATTCCAGAAATAAATAATTCTTAAGTCTTAAATTTCATGCCATTCTGAGTAATTTAATGAAATCGCATGCTGTCCTGCTCCATCCTACAAGGAACATGAGTTATCCCTTTGTCCAGCATATTCATACTGGATATGCTACCTGCCTGTCAATCACTTGGCAGTGTTTTGTTTTATCAGATCAGCTTCGGTGGTATTACAGTGCCTGAGTTCAAGAAATCCTTATTTTATTTTAGCACAGTATATTCTTACATTTTTAATTTTATTATTATTATTATTACTGATACTATCTTACTGTGGTTAATTTGTAAATTAGAATTTATCATAGGTGTGTGTGTGTGTGTGTGTGAAACAATACTGTATAAATAGGGTTCATTTCCATTTCAGTTTTAGGCATCTGAGAAATTTCTTGGAATATTCCCTATGGATAATGGTGGGCTACTGTATGTAATTGAATTTTATCTGTGACATCATAGAAGCCATTGGACTAAAAGTATCAGGAGGAGGAGGGGAAACTCATATTCTATACTTGCTTGGAGGGAGAACAACTTGTATCCATGAAAATAATTAAGAATCTCATGTGATGAGGTACACAGTTAAGGACATGGGTCACAATATAGTGAAATATTAAAGAAGTTGATTCAATAGGATTTTCTCACAGAAGGGACGTGGGAATAAGTGACATGGACTGTTCAGAAAGATTTCTAAAATAACAGGTGGATAGTTGTATAATTTAGTGAGATGGGAATAATGCAAGGGAATAAATGTGGAGAAATAGATAACACATTTATCTCATACATGTTAAATTAGAGAGAGATGTTGAGCCACCCAAGTAGTTGTTCTATAGGAGTTTGGTAGATGTCCTGAAATTGATCAGAGTCAAGTGGACTGTATACATACTTAGCTCTGCCCCAGTCTAACTCATAATAGCCATAAGTAGTGATGTATAAATGTTTAATGACCAGATATGCTGGAAAAAGTTGGATTGTGTCTGTTTTCATGGTATCTATACTTGCACACAGCCAATTATAAGCTACTAACATGACCTTATTATATGTGGAGTTGGGAAGAGATGCCCACAATTGGCTCTCACTGGTACTGGCTTGCTTCACACACCAAGAAGTGCTCTTAGTTTTGGAAACCCTTCTTGCAGATAAGATAGCTCTTTGCAGCAAGGCTATCTCTGAGAATTGCCTCCAGGGGACTGGTGTCATCATGGGATATGCAATGATCTTGCAGTTTTCTCTAAAAGTGAAATAATTTGTGACAACTCTGTGGAGCTGATAGCCATTGTCTGGATAATTCTGTTGGAATATTATTTAAGTGAGTCAGGCATGATTAAATGATTGAAGCAGCTGACTTTTAGGATTCCTTTCAACATGTTTTTGATCTCATGATTCTATTTTTGTTCCTTTGATAATTGTAGAATCCCCAGCTATTGCTAATCAGAAAATTCTGCTAATAGTGTCAGCAAAATTAAGATGAAAAGAATACTATAATGCAGTAATGTAAGATATCAAAGAAAACAGCAAGTATTTTAGTTTGGTGGTTCGAAATTTCCCAAATGAATTGATACATATGCAATGCATAAGCACTTCAGCATAACTTATCTCTCTTTAATTAATCTTTTTTTTTCTTTAGTGATTTTGGTCCTGATCTCACTTTTTCTTATTTTAGTATTTGCTCTGATATAAAATATAATAAAGCAATTATTTGGTTTAAATCTTCTGTTTTAATTACAGATGTACCTGCCAATTTTAGGGTAAGTTATGAGATGAACATTTTTGTATTAAAGAACATGTATTCATTGAGAAACTCTTCTACACTATGTACTATAATTGTGGCTTTTTGGTTAAATTTTTGAATTCATTATGTAAATACACTGAAGACAATTGTATGCAAATTCTGTGTACATTTGACAATAAAGATTGCAATGTTATCTTAATACTAAAGAGTTTTACTATTTTCTAGCTACGGACCTTCTTTTTTCCAAGACAATATTTGGTAAAGCAGTTCCATTTGCCACAGCTGGAGATTGCTATAGTGCTGCCAGATGCCCACAGGTATTTAATATGTATTTAATTTTTTTCCTTCATTATGAAAAAAATTGAAAATGTTTCTCCTGTTTCATTTTCTTTACCATAATATTGCAAGAAACATAAGTAAATCAATAAGCACAAGTTTCTATATGCACTTTATTTCAAAGATTATAGATAAACCTTAGATGAAGAGCATTTGCAAATATTGGGTTTGTTTGAGAGATATAATAACAAGAATTTTAAATTGTTCATATACTATTTCTCCTTCATGATACTTCATAATTTGGGTATTAATTAAAAGGTAAAGGAATAGAACATAAACATGTGACTTTCATATACCACTACTAGCATCAGTATTAGTTTTTTGGGTCTGTGGCACTCTGTTATTGTTTGGATGAAGGTCTCTCAAAAGTTCATATTTAAAGGATAGGTCCCCAGATGGCAGTAGTAGGAGGTGCTATGGACTCAAGAGGCAGGGCCTCATGGGAGGTACTTAGGTCATTGGGAGCATAAACTTGAGGGGGATTGTGGAGCTCCGTTGGTTCATTCTCTCTCTGCTTCCTGGCTTGTGATGAGTTCCCTTGCTCTGGCATACACACCCAACTTAATGTGCTGCTCTTGCCAGACTCAAACAAATGGGGCTGCACAATCTTGAATTTGAACTTCCAAAATCATGAGCCTAAATAAAGCTTTCCTCTTTAGAAAGTTAATTGCCTCATGTATTTTGTTGTAGTAACACAAGACTGACTATATACATTCCTGAAATGATGTTCTATTATGTGTGAAATGTAGAGATTACATTTTCATTCTTGCTTTCATCTTTTATTTCCATATTTTTCCCCAAACTTCTTTATTGCTTTCATAACTTTGATTGATCTGTTATCCCACAATCTTGCTGAAAAGAAAAAATGAAGATTTATTTTTTAATTAGAATAGGTTTTTAGTAGATTCCTTAGGATTTTCTAAATGCATGATGATGTCATCTGTGAGTAAAAATACTTTTACTAATTCCTTTTCAATCTGGCTATTTTTAATTTTTTTGTCTTGCCTCATTGCTTGGTCATCTCTGCCAGTACAGTGTTGGATAGAAGAGTATATTTCTTTATGTTCTGATTTTAGGTGAAAAGCTTTCAGTCCTTCCTCAGTAGATATATCAGCTATGAGTGTTTTGTAGATGCCCTTGATCAGGTTGAGGAAGTGCCCTTCTAATTTTAGCTTAAGTATTGCTATCAGAAGGGATGTTGAGTTTTGTTGAATGGTTCTTCTGCATCCATTGAAATGATTTTGGGTTCTTGTCTATTACTATGTTAATATAATAAATATATTATAATGATTTATTTTAGTATATTAAAGCAAACTTGAATTCCTGGAATAAATCCCACATGGTCATACTGTATAATTCTTATATTCTTCTACATTTGCTTGGCTAAAATTTTGTTCAGAATTTTTTGTCTATATTCATAAGATTTTATTCTGTCATTTTTCTATGGTGTCTGTCTGGTTTGGATATTAGAGAAATAATGGCTTCATAGAATGAACTGGGAAGTGTTCATTCTTTTACTTTTTGGGAAAACTTTATGAAGAATTCACTCTTTAAATGTTTGGTAGAATTCAGCAAAACCATCTGACCTTGTACATTTCTTTGTGAAATTTAGTTACTAATTTAATCACTTTATTATTATAGATCTATTCAGATTTTCTAGTTCTTCCTTAATTGGTTTTGGTAGTTTTCTTTATAGGGATGTCCATTTCATCTAAGTTATCTAACTGGTTCCAATACATTCCTGATGGAATGTATAAACCTCTGTATTTTTGTAAGATCAGTGGTCACATCCCCTCTGTCATATTTGTCTGTTTTGTAGTCAATCAATTTTCACTTTAATCTTCATCATTTCTTTTCTTCTGCTTGTTTTAGATTTAATTGTCTCTTCTTTTTCTAGTATTTTAAGGTAGAAGATTAGGTTCTTGATTTAAGACATTTTTCTTTTTAATATAGGCATTTATAGCTATAACTTCCCTTCAAGCACTTAATTTGTGCATCTCAGAAATTCTGTATGCTGTGATTTTATGTTCATGTATCTTAAAATATTTTCTATTGTCATTTGTTTGACAATAGAACATTTTCTTTGGATCACTGGTTATTTAAAAGTATGGTGCTTAATTGCAAAATGTTTGTGAATTTTCCAAATCTCCTCCTCCTCTTCCTTCTTCTTTTCTTTGTATAATTTCTACTTTCATTTCCACTGAAAAACATGGTCTATATTGTCTCTGTCCTTTTGAATTTATTGAGGCTTGTTTTACGGTGTAACATATGATTTATGCTAAAGAACGTTCAATGTGTGCTTGGAAAGAATGTGTGTTCTGATGTTGTTGGGTGAAGTGTTTTATAGACTACAGGCCCTGTTCGTTTATAATGTTATTCACCTCTTCTTTTTCCTTGTTGATCTTCTACTTGATTCTTCAGTCCACTGAAACTATGCAACTATAATTGCTGAATTATCTATTTCTAAGTTCAATCTTGTTTCATTTCTGTTGGGGTCTTGTTGCACATGCTTATGTATTTATTTATTTTTATTTATCATAACTTCCTAATATATAGGCTTTTTATCATTATAAAATGTTCTTCTTTACTGTAGTAACTTTTTTTGTTTTTAATTTTAAAGTCTAATTTTTCCAATACTAGTGTGGTCACTCCAGTGACATAGAAACATATAATTGTACTTCCAGTTATCCCCAATTTCAGTGGAGCGTTTATTCCAGGATGCCTCATGGAAACCAAAATCTGTGTATGCTCAAGTTCCTCATATAAAATGATATAATATTTGCATATAGTCTGTGCATATTCTTCCATATACTGCTAATAAGAATACTGAGTTTTGTTTATCTGAGAATGTCTTTATTTTGCCTTCATTTTTGAAAGATAGATTTGCTTGTTATAAAATCCTTGATTTGCATTGATGATGATGATGATGATGATGATCATCATCATCATTTGCACTTTGAATATGTCATTCCACTGCCCTCTGGTGAGCAGCGACTAGATAAATAGTAAATATCAACTATTTACCTTATTGGGGTTTCCATGTAAGTGGTCATTTTTCTACTGGTGCTTTAGGATTTTCTTTTTATTTTTGTCTTTCAGCATCTTTTCTGTGATATATTTGGTTTCAAACTTTAGTATCTATTCAGATTGCAGTCTATTAAACTTCCTGGATGTATAGATTAATACATTTCAAAGTTGAAATCTATTTTCTTTCACATGTAACTCTCTGCTCCTTTCTCTTTCTTCTCTCCTTTTGGTACTCTCATTATGCATATTTTGGTACACCTAATGGTATCTCTTTATTTCTCTGATGTTCTGTTTATTTTTCTTTATTCCATTTTTTCCTTCTGTTCTTAAGTTTGGATCATTGCTATTGATATCTTGCAAATTTTCCAATCCCTCTGCTAGCTACAATCTGTTGCTTGAGCCCCCTTGGTGAATTTAATTTACCTTGGTTATTGACTTTTCAACTCCAGAATTCTCCTTTAGCTATTTTTTTTGAGAGAGAGAGAGAGAATTTTTTAATATTTATTTTATAGTTTTTGGTGGACACAACATCTTTATTTTATTTTTATGTGGTGCTGAAGATTGAACCCAGCGCCCTGCGCATGCCAGGCGAGCACGCAACTGCTTGAGCCACATCCCCAGCCCCTTTAGCTATTTTTAATAAAACAGAATTTCTGGGACTGGGGTTGTGGCTCAGTAGTAGAGCGCTCACCTAGCATGTGCAAGGCCCTGGGTTTGATCCTCAGTAACACCTATAAATGAATAAATAAAATAAAGGTATTGTGACAACTACAACTAAAACTATTTTTTTCAGTTTTGCAATTTATTACTTACTTTTTTTGTATTTATTTATTTATTAAATTTTTATTGTTGGTTGTTCAAAACATTACATAGTTCTTGATATATCATATTTCACACTTTGATTCAAGTGGGTTATGAACTCCCATTTTTACCCCGTATACAGATTGCAGAATCACATCAGTTATACATCCATTGATTTACATATTGCCATACTAATGTCTGTTGTATTCTGCTGCCTTTCCTATCCTCTACTATCCCCCCTCCCCTCCCCTCCCCTCTTCTCTCTCTACCCCCTCCACTGTTATTCATTTCTCCCCCTTGTATTGTTTTTCCCTTTCCCCTCACTTCCTCTTGTATGTAATTTTGTATAACCCTGAGGGTCTCCTTCCATTTCCATGCAATTTCCCTTCTTTCTCCATTTCCCTCCCACCTCTCATCCCTGTTTAATGTTAATCTTCTTCTCATGCTCTTCGTCCCTACTCTGTTCTTAGTTACTCTCCTTATATCAAAGAAGACATTTGGCATTTGTATTTTAGGGATTGGCTAGCTTCACTTAGCATAATCTGCTCTAATGCCATCCATTTCCCTGCAAATTCTATGATTTTGTCATTTTTTAATGCAGAGTAATACTCCATTGTGTATAAATGCCACATTATTTTTTATCCATTCATCTATTGAAGGGCATCTAGGTTGGTTCCACAGTCTTGCTATTGTGAATTGTGCTGCTATGAACATCGATGTAGCAGTGTCCCTGAAGCATGCTCTTTTTAGGTCTTTAGGGAATAGACCGAGAAGGGGAATAGCTGGGTCAAATGGTGGTTCCATTCCCAGCTTTCCAAGAAATCTCCATACTGCTTTCCAAATTGGCTGCACCAATTTGCAGTCCCACCAGCAATGTACAAGTGTACCTTTTACCCCACATCCTCGCCAGCACTTGTTGTTGTTTGACTTCATAATGGCTGCCAATCTTACTGGAGTGAGATGGTATCTTAGGGTGGTTTTGATTTGCATTTCTCTGACTGCTAGAGATAGTCAGCATTTTTTCATGTACTTGTTGATTGATTGTATGTCCTCCTCTGAGAAGTGTCTGTTCAGGTCCTTGGCCCATTTGTTGATTGGGTTGTTTGTTCTCTTATTGTCTAATTTTTTGAGTTCTTTGTATACTCTGGATATT